AAGAAGAAAGAACTGGAGGAGCTGTCTGAAAATACAGAAAAGGAGGAGATGTTTCTGGTCTTGCAAGAAGAAAGTGAGTACAGAGGTGGAGACAAAAAAGAATAAAAGAGAAAAGCAGAAGATGGAAATTAAAGGTCAGGATGCACAGAAAACGAAAGACAAGGAGGTGAAGGGGGAAATTAAAAAAGAAACATTAACAGGAAATGGAGGATATAAAGAAGAAACAATAGGACAAGGCAGGGTCCTGTCACGCTCTGGTTGGATATCCACCCTCTACTAGTCATACGGAGCATCTTACTTAATCACCAATTGCTTATTTGCTTAAAAGTACTGACTCATATAATGTATGGTGGGCAATGAGCTCAGTGCTTTTGGTCTTTAATTTTCTGTACAAAACTATTAGTCCATCAATGGATTAGTTAATAGAAAATAAATCAACCACTCTTACGATATTGTAAACTGAATGTCTTTGGTTTTGGGACAAAGTGAGCTCTTAAAATACATCAGGTTGGGCTTTAGGTGATCTCTAAGGCATTTGTTTGCACTATTTCCCAACATTTAATGACCACATAATTATTGGAAGAAATAATCATTACATTAATCAGTAACAAAAAATAATAAGTAGTTTCAGCCCTGGTGAACCTTCAAAAAAGGTCTGTATTACAGTTATTAGAGATGGCTCAAGAACATGAAAATTATCATGAAAGGATGTTTCCTGGTGAAGGGGATGTCACTTCCTGTACTCTTCATGCTAAACATAGATAGAGAGCTGAAGAGAGAAGGCAGGAAGGCTTTGGCAAGATCACACTGAGAATTTGATGCGAGCTCCGGCACTGTGAGTAAAGTTACATAATCTCATTTCCCCTGTTTGATTATCACCACTCTGACAGTATGTGTTGGAAGCAATGTGATGCTCCAAACTGTGCTTACGAAGCTTTAGCAGATGGGAGGTGATGGGAGAAGCAAGAAGAAAGCATTATACAGAAATTTAGTGGAATCAACTAATCTTTTCTTCTTAATGTAAATATGTAAGTTTTGTTAATTTCAAGCTAATTCAATTTAGAAAGTCTATTTTTAATTTTCAGACCACTCAAGAAGTTAAACAAGGGTTGTTCCAACAAGAGGTCTTTTGACTTGAACTGATGAAGTTTTTTTTTTTTTGAGAATATCTTTAAAAACAAGAAAATCTTTAAAACTTTTCTGCTAACAAAAAAGAGCTGAAACATTTTCTAATATGTATTTGAATCAAATTCTATTAAGTAGTATGTTAGCCCTCTAGCTGAATAAAGTGTAATGGATCAAATTGTGTCTACTTAAATTTTTTTACTCTTCCTTACTCAGGTTAGAATAAGAGACAAATATTTCCTAGCAGCATCATAGCTAAAAGCAGCTTCACCAAGTTTGGATGTATCACAGGGTCTAGTGGTTGATATTACGGCAGAAAATCAAGTATTTTTTGATTCACAAACAACTGGCAGTATTCTGGAGCTAGATGATTTTTATAGCAACTTTAAAGATAATTGAAAGTGCTTTACATAATGTGTAAGACTTAGACAGGGAAAGGAGCAGAAGACAAATTAAAACGATGTAAACAAATGTTTATATCTTTAGAAAAAAGCAGGTATAGTTCAGGATTTAATCACAGGGGGGATAACAGTGTGGGTGCTAAAGATTTCGCTGAAGGCAGTGGTGAACACAAAAGGTTTTAAAAGTAGGTGGAGTGTATGTGTAGCATGATAATGAAAAGCTGCTTCTTTGTTTTTAGTTAAAATCACTTCCACTGGCAGATGCCCAAGAGAAGGCTCAGAGACATACAGAGTATTTTTGGGACCAAACCACTGAGATATTTATAGATGATCAGCAGTATTTTAAAGGTTACTGTATGACACACTAAAAGCTGGTGTAGAAACCTGAGAATAGCTGTGATGTGTTGAATCAGCTTCAGATGTCAAACAGTATTTCTCTGAGAAACTGAGAAAGACTAGTTACAGGGGTCCAACCTCTAACAGTTAAAGACTACCCCTAATTTTTCTTAATCACGTGAGATCATTCATTTTCTAATTCTTGACATTTTTTAATTACTTCTTTTTTTTTTAATCTGAATTTATTATCATGATTTGGAATTTCAATTTGAACTATTTGTATGCATTCTACCAGGAAGAAACTTAGACAAGGCAGCTTGACTTTATGTGAGAAAATTCACTGTGTCAGGATGTACTTTTATCACTAGTATCCTTTTAACCCTGTTACTTAATGTAAGTCCAAGTCCAGGTCAGACAATTCACACTGAAGCTGGAGCGTTTTTCATTTCTTTCTTGACTCTCCTGTTAACTTTATTGCACATGGTAAGGCTCAACACCTTTATGATTCTTTGAGGGTTACAGACTTTGGTTACCTCAGGATATTCTCGAACATCATCATCAATCAACCAAAGTACCAATGTGGTTTCATAAAATACCTCATAAATACCAAGAGGAATCCAATGTTTGATTTGTAATCTTCTTCAATCAGTTCCTCATTTTCAATCATAATCGACAATTCTAAACCGTTATTTTCCTTGTACAGCTGCTTGTGTTTTGAGACCATCTAACATTTGTTAAATGTTGCTTCTTTTCTTGAATAGAAAAGGGGTTTTAAAGAAAAACACATTTATTTTTTAAAGTGTAAAAAAAAAATATGTAATTTTTGAGAAAAACATTTCACATAATACCCACAACTGTTTTGGAAAGTAAATACAACTCATACTCATCAGCACAAGTTTGAGAAAGTAAACACTTATTTATCATTGATAATGTGTTAAATGACTCATTACCACAAACAAACATCATCATGAACATAATCTAAGTAAAACTGAGTGAACTCCTGCAGCTGTTTTTCTCTACTAACACGTGCTGAGCATAAATTCAACATTCACTCAGTGCCAACACAGATTTGCAGACAGGACTCTTCTCTCTAGGCTATGGTGTGGGTCACTGTAGTACTGCTTCTAGGCAGGCACCACGGGTATTTTGACTGTTCTGTGATGTGAGTCCTAATTAGCCGCTACATTCCTTAATTAAACGAGTGCAGAGTTAAACAGTGTAACACAAGCACAAATGTCAATGGTGCCGACTTTGTCGCACCTAATTTAGCAGACTCAAAAAAAAAGGCTAGTTTTTCAGAACTAGTATTCCCATCCTTTATTTCTCACCAACACCTCCTTGTTAAACTGAGCCTTCATTCATTAGACATAGGTTACTTCTCACAGGACTCGCAACTGAAGGCTAAACTGCACTGTGCTGGCATGAGACATTATACATTAACAGTCCCTGACAGGATATGATTCAGTGAATGGAACTGTATTGCACCATAGACAAACAGTTTCAAAAATTCTTAAAATGCAGATGGATGGACAGATAACAAGAAGGACAGTGTGATAGGTAGCTAGTTGAAAGGAAAGGTAGATTGATGGGAAGACAGCTAGTCAGACAAACACCTAGTGAGAAAAGGCAATAAGACAGGCCGACAGCAGCGTAACAGTGCGTGCTGTAGGTGTGCTTGTGTGTAGGAATATGATGACTCAACGGTTGAGAAAATGCAGTGCCAAAGGAAAGGGCTGTTTAACGAATATTAAAGATATAGCGTACACTTCAACGGATATTTGTTTTTTTGGTGGGCTTTTTTTTAAGTGGCTAAAACACATTTTTGTAGCCAGCCCCATCCACAGCAGCACATCGCTGAGATTTGGTACACCTGGCTGCCTCCAAATCCAAATCCACTGCAGGTGTTACACCGACTATAGATAAGTCCCTCACACAACCCCACTTCAAATATACTATCACTACTATCACTTTAAATACAGGACTTGAGTAAATATCCTTTGTTACTTTCTACCAATGGATGTTTGTAGTTGGAGTCACCAGCTCTGCTACGATTCAACGAGTGTGATGCGGAAGTGCCTGTACGGCACATGCAATTATGATGTACGAGCTGGTTGGTCATGTGACAAGACGTCACTACTCCTGAGCCTCTGGATTTAACGTGTACCCTAGTCAGTCAGACAGACAGACAGTTTAGACAGATGCTCCTCCATGGTGGGATTTTAATCTAAGTCAAAGCTCAGAGAGCTCTTTCTACAAAGAGTGCCAGTGTCAGAAGCAAATCCAAGAACAGATCTGTGCAAATGTGAAACAACATGTCACATACATTCACATGGAGCACTGTGACTGGCTGCGGAGTCCAAACTGTGGGGTGGAAGCTTGTATAGGGATTGTGGGTGGCTGTATTCCCTTGAGGGCTGACTTTACTATACTCTATAGACTGCAGCTTCCACTGTACTGAAAAAAATAAAACAGATTTACACTACCTTCTAGATTGCACTTTTGCAAGTAGTAAAAAGATAAGCCAGCAGTGGCAAAGTATCATCTGAGGAATGCCAATGCAGCAATATACTCCCCTCATCTTTCTGCCCTTGTACTACCTTGCCAGTCACTCCCCGATCCACAGTCCCTTGCCTTTGCCAAATGTGGGTCAAGAAAGGTCTAATCCAGAGGGGCGTCATGGCGAGAATAATGAAACAGAAATGGAGAACATCTGAGAATAAATAAAGTACTGTTGGGACACACTCTCATTCTCTAGTGCCACAAATGAGCCAATTAGGCTCAGACTTGTCTCTTCATGGGGATGCTACTAATGGTGAATGCACTGAAAAGATCTTGTTTTTCCTTACAATTTCTACTGAACTTTGATTTATTTTTTAGCAGTGTGCATATACAGTATGTGTGTGTGTCTGTGTGGGAGTGGTGACGTTCTTTCATCTTAGTTCCAACTCTGTGTATTCTTTTCAGCATATGATTTCTTAGTGCTAATACGGCTTAACTTCAGCGGCGGACTGATCTCCCACTGACACTAGAGATGGTTTTGGCACATTTACATTTGAATGAAAGAGATCATCTTACATACAAATGTCATGTTTATAGGACATATTTAGCCATCAACTGCTCGCATATTCACTAACTCACCATAGTCGCTCTCATAAAAGATGATGAACTTCTGCCAGTGCAGTTCAGAGACGAGGGTGAGCAGGACGTCGTTGATTCGAACAGGTGGACGGGCAGCCAATGTGTAGCTCTCTCCGTCTGGGCTGGGGTTGAGCTGGCAGGCGGTGCGGGGTGAACCATCCCCGTTTCTCTGGATGAAGAGATGGGGGATGTGCATGGCGTCTGTCAGGGACTGCAGGGCACTTGCGGCCGCACAGCCTGTTGATGTAACCAGAGCGAGGATCCCCTGGTTCATCAATTCGCATGCTGGAGAGAGGAAAGAAGAAACAGAGAGAAGGATGAGGGGTGGTTACAAGAATTTGAAGAGGGAAATAAGGATGAATGACACAGAAGTATATAAAGTGATAGAAAAGCAAGAGAGAAATAGGAAAAGGCAGGTACATGGAGAAAAATTGGGTTGGGAAAAGTGAAAAGGAGAAGGAACGAGATAAAACACGGTTAGATATGCTTCGAATATCAAATCAAACTATAATCAATTCCAACAAGATTGTCATTTCAAAAATCATTTTTCAGGTTTTAAGAGTGCTGCACATTATTCAAGAAAGTGTGTTCAACTGGGCTTAAGAATTCAAGATGGCTCTTTGTGTATCCTACTTAGGATTACGCCTGAGCCTCTGCAGTAGAGAGCAGATCACAGAAAGTAGAGGGTTGGTACTGAAGTTGTATTATAATGTGTAGATGAGAGATTCAGTGGGGGGGCATTCTCTAATCCTTGTCCTCAGACAAAAACCAGACAGCTGATTAAAGCAGAAATGCTTGTTAAAAGGTAACAATCACATGAAAACAGCAGATGAATCAGAGAGCTGCAGGAGTCAGTGTGGTACTTTAAAAAGCACGGACCAGAGGTGGCGACTGAGTGGGAGGAATCTGTGACAAATAAAAATCGAGAATATCCTAGCTGGATACAGAAGGTTAGATGCAAAATGACGCCTCCCATGAGTCTAAACCAAATACAGTCCCACAGACCCCTCAGTCTTTCTCTCTTTCATGTACACACGGTGGGTATCTGTAAACCAGTACAGATTAGGACTGCAGACACTGCTTGTGGTGTCTGCGTTGGGTCTTAACGTCCCTACATTTTTATTTAGACATGTAATTTGGGCAAAATCTGTTTGAGATCCTCTTAAGGTAGGTCAGCATGTCTACCGGGGAAAAATGCCAAATATCTTTTAAAGATGAAAATGCCATCTTTGACATTATTAATAGACCAGACATTGACGCGAAAAGCTGTTCTGTCTAAGTGCTAGTAAATATTTAATAATGGTAGGTAGACTTGAGGTTGCAGTGATCTGTACTATTAGGCATTTGTTATTTTTCCGTTCAGATTATTTTACAGGTGATCAATAACATAGAACGATGACTCATTCAACCACAATGGCAATATGTTCAGTGCATACTAAAGATAGCTGAGTTTATCACTGTGAGGAAGTACTATACAACACATTTTAAGCAAATTTTGTTTACAACATAATTTCATTGTTATGTGTAGTGTAAAGGTAAAATGCAGTTCATACGCTCTTTTTTACTTAGACAAATATAAGAGGTGGTTTTGAAACATTCATCTGCAGAACACAGATAGTGATCCTAATTTCACACTGTGGTTTAACACAGACTGAAAGCAACTGTGCATTGAATCAGGATACAAGATATCTATATATATATTTAAACCAATATTTCTTTGTGAGTTGAAAGCACAGCTCCTACCCCCCCAGTTTCTTAGAGCACAAATACATATACATATTCATAATTTGTTGCCCATATTATTCAACCTAACATGTTTTCATCCTTTCTTAGGTAACAAGATGCAAGAGACACAAATAGTCAATTAGCATGAATGAGAAAGTGATGTAAATCCAAATGCAACTGTTTGAATCAAGAATTTTCACATTTAATTTTAAACTTTATCTCTGCAATGAGCTGCATAATCATCTACTACAGGGATACAGTTTACAGACTAATTTTGCATGTGACATGAGACAGGCCTTTAAAATTCAAGTCACTGTTTCTCACACAGTGGGGCTCTTACAATTTCAGCCCAAACAGCTGAGCATATTCTACAAAACAGCAATTAAATGTTCTGCTGCATTACATGTTGCTGCATTTCATAATACCTAATTATATAATCGACTTCAGTGTCAATGCAGAATTTAGCACAAAGCAACAGCACCCCAGTCTCAGTCCATATTACATCATACAAAAACCCTTGATATTGAGCATCATAAGAAGAACAAGGAACATATACAGGTAAGACACCATGGAGTTAAATCCAACAAGATACTAGACGAGGTGTGAAGGGGGAGGTGAAGAAAACGGAGGGTGGCTGTGGAGAGAAGGCATTAGGGATGAAGAGAGAGGTCTGAGGAGGAGGGATGAGAAAGGGGAAAAAAGGAAGGTGATGAGACGGGGGGGGGGGGGGGGTGTTCTGTGAATGGAGCCATACTGGAAAAGGCTTGTATATGTGTGTGTGTGTGTGTGTGTGTGAATGTGTGGCAGAGGGGGAGGACTATTAATGTGACAAATGGCGATTTCATCTGCTGACTGCATGCACAGGACTACATTAAGGCACTGTAAATCATGAGTACAGAGGCAACTAAATAACATACTGAGGATGAGCCGGGAAAGTAGGAACGTCAGACAGTGGAGGCAGAGGGAGATGCACTGTAGTTGCTCTAATTGAAGTAGAACAAGAAAAAGAGTGCAGAACAAGAAGCGATGAGGAAAAGAGTGCAAGAGAAGTAGAGGGATTATTTGTAGCTTTTTGCATGAATGCTCAGGAGAGTTCAAGAAAGACAATGTGCTTCTGCAGAGAAGGAAGAGTGTTGCTGTTTGTATGTGGGGGGCCAATATGTGGAGTAGGGCACTTGGCAAATATTCTGTGGTACTGCTCAACATACTAATGCTCTGCTCAGTAGGAGGCCACGTGATTGACAGTAATACAAATCTAGAGCATGTTTTAACACTGATAAAATGTCTAAAATGTGTCAGATGGCACCAGTAAACTGTGCACTATGCACTGAAAACAGAGCAGTCTGTTCCTAAGAGCTAGTTCCCTGTTAACAAGTTTTCTCATAGACAACCCACTCACTATAAACTTTACAGGGCTGCACAGATAGGCAGGGATTGCTGCATGAATCAATTTTAACAAGGCTGCATGTATTACTAAAAACACACATATATTAGAGCTGAAACAATTAGTCAATTATTGAATTAGTCTATCAACAAAAATTTATCAGCAACAAGTTTGATAATTGATAAATCATAAAATAAAAATGGCAAACATTCTCTTGTTTAAACTTCTAAAAACTGAAGATTTTCTGCTTTTCTTCTTTTATATGATTTTAAATGGAATCTCTCTTCTCTCCCTGAGTGATCTAAAATAAAATCTAAAGAATCTGATCTAAAATAATCAGGGATTAATCAATAATTAATAAAACCATGAGTTGCAGCCCTAAAATATATCAAGATCAAATGATTGTGAAATAAATAACTAAATAACTGTAAGCCTTTTTTGTGTTAGTGGATCCAAAATTACAACAGTACCACATTCATCATTTATTTATTTTACCTTTTACTTGTTTACTAGTACGTAGCCCCCTACTCCCTGTCCCTCAGCCACTTTTAGTAGACTGTGGCTAAAGTGCGACTGCAGCCATTTTGGCTTCCTAATGGACACCCCGTGCCCATTATACAGCAGACAGCCCACTGACAGGAGGGAGGAGTGCTCCACAGTCATTGGCAAGGATGATAATGGTGGAATAATGACTCTTAAATGTTCCCCCTGAAGTGGACAGTAGCCATCACTCATGTCCTGCTAGCTATCTGACATCTAATGTCAGCATGGAACAGCAGTCTTATACATACACCTTGAAGGAATAGCTTCCTCTTCCAGCATCATGCATACGAAGCCACTGATTTATTATATTAAATTCTATGTATGTGGACTAATTTCAGTAAAAGTATAGGCTGTGTCTATGAATGGAAGTGGATGGATGGAAGGATTTTAAAATGAGCCAACAAGTCTACTGTAATTGAAAGGAGCAACAACAAGGAGATGCACACAACAGCTGTTTTCTTTGGAAAGAGAGATTTGCTAATCTATCAAACCCGTTGTGGAGAAACAGACATTTTCTTCTCAGTAATGGTATGGTTGATTGATGGATGCTGAACTCAGTAGTGGTGAATTCATTTTCAAACATGTCTAATCAACACTGTACTTTTAAAACCCTTATACAAATGCAATCACACTGAGATCATGCAATTTAATCTGTCAGCAATCTCAGTGACCAAATCAGAAAAGGGGCTGGGAGAGTGGAAGCAGTATTTTTCATGTCCCCACACTCATAATTGAAACTGTATGAAATGACATCTGCCATACAGATCAGGTCTGATCAACAAAAAAGGACACTGTATTTTTCCGCACATGTCCTCGCCTCATCAGACCAGTTCAGTTATGCGTGTGCGGTGCAGGGGAAATAATCATTAAGAAGACATTACAACTTCTTGCCACACAATCTGTTTTCCCATGAAAACAGGATGTCATCAGTGTCTCGCCCTCATTTTACCAATGTAATATGAAGGCATGAGATGAACCACCACACCACTGCTGTAGTGAAAACTGCATAAATTGGGGCTGTCTCAGTGATTTCACAGTCTAAATGAGACAGTCTCATTTAGTTTACTCTGACTCAGAGCACAATCCTGGGATTCAAAGAGGAGAGTCACCACTGGGATAAATTCTACAATGTTGTCAACGCCACTCTACCTTGCAGTGACAATGGTGTAACTGATCTAATTCAGACAGCTTGTGATATGTGATGCAGAATGAAATGTGTGTTTTGTGTTAATCAGGTGCAGTTTCAAAAGCAAACAAAAACGGAATGTTTTACTTTGACTGTATTGTCCTTGTTATTTTCAGGATGAGCAAATGCTTATTCAAAATCTAAATATGAAATTATGAGATAAAGAACTCATATTTTGGTACCAAGTCGATGACAAAATTCTGTACTTGTTTTTCCTGCAGTAGAATAGATACTGGAGATGTGATTTGTCCAGGACTGGGCAGTATAATAATCCTACAAGCATCTTAGTCTAACACAAAGAGAGGAAGAAGGCAGGCACAGTAAACAGTAACAAAAATGCGTGGAATGGCGGAGTCACTTCAAATGAAAGGAGGAAAGACCTCCACTTCTCTCAGCACCTTAACAAATTCAGAATTCAAGGTGAGTGAGTTTCAGCTGTTTACTTTC